GTTATCTGGACTGATCGTGAAACTATGCAAGAGTCTGTACGGTTTGAAGCAGGCATCACGACAATGGCATGCGCACCTGACGAGGTGTTTGTTACTTTTAGGATTTGTGCAATGTTTGGCGGATGCATGTGTTTTTCGATTGATGGAGGATGGATGTGTGATCATGATCATTGTGGTCCACGTGGATGACATTTTCCTCCTGTATTGGGTACTCTACCGCTGTCCCATGGTGATAGCTGCAGGCGGCTGGTCAGCGCGTCGGCGAGAGTGCCGGCGATGTCATCTACGGCCGGGTTCGCCGATGGCCGCCCCGCTTGTTGCTGGTGGCGTGCCTCGTGCTCGCTTCCGGTCCGGACGTTCTCTGTCCTCTGCTCCTCCTCGTCTTGTTGCCGCCTTATGTCGGCCAGTCGTTGTTGTACCCTCATCTCCACCAACTCGTTGATGCGGGCGTCCTCGTCTTCTGCGTGACGGGCGCCTCGTTCTTGGTCGGCGCTGGACATCGGTGACAGCTGCTGATCGCCGCAAAGCGATACTCCAAACTAAGCTCGACGCGAATCTCGTAGACGACGTGTCATACGCTAACTTGATCGATTATTCGGGTGGCTCAGTTGTGTGCGATGGGAGTGTAGGGCACCTCGGCCATTACGGGCCGTAGGANACACAACGAATCTCTCTGAATCCTCACCAAAAGCCTCTCACAACCAAGGAAAATATGTAGAAAGTTCCTGTTCCTCCGCATCTCATCACTGCAATATTCGTACGTACGTACTTAACATCTCAACCATCATACTATGCTACGAGTATATCGAATAACACTCTCGGACTACCTACGCGGGTAGGGGATAGGGGACACAAAAGTATTTCATCTACGTGGTGGGTAGGACAGTAGGTGCACACCCTGCGGAGAGTTTATGCACCGCGAAAACGAGCGCGAGGATGGCTGCCCCTCAACGTCGACGCTCACGTAGGGAGAGCGGTACGAACAGAGTGCACTTCACGATCCTCACCACAACCGTAACATGCTCCACGGTCGTCTGCAGGCCCAGATCCCAGACCGAATAGCGACGTGATGACCGCACACACACCCGGATACACCCCCCCCCACCGCCCGCCCCGGTGATTGCCATCGGGGTTGGGTTTTCGTCGCTTGGCAACGACGT